TATATCTGACCATTTCACTACCTCATGTAATCACAGGGGAGACTAAGTCTTCCTTACTTCACCCCTATTATTTTTATGCATTGTAATGTTCAGGCATTGGTGAAGTGCTGAAGAAGAATGGAAAAATGCCCATGATTCACCTCATGTCCAGGCCACTTGGGAATAGTTTCAATGACGGTATGCCTATGGCTGGTATATGGTACCATTCAGCACACTGATTTACTTCGGATCTCAACATTACTGCCACCATTTAGTGCGACTCTTTTTCTCAGCACAGCCTCGAGTCCCTTATGGTGAAGCTCTCCTCTGCAGCACGTTGGGTTGTCCCGGGGGCCGTACGTTTCCACAATGTCTCTGGTCTTGTTGCAGCAGGTATCAAAAGCCTCTCAACAAGATACAGTAAAACCGGACCTAACCGGACACCCTTGCTGCAGCGAAAACCATCATGATATATCAGAATTCCGCTTGATCCAAGGATGCACGTTTGATCCACAGTACTTTGGTGCAGAAACATTTGGTCAATACAATATTCTGTTTCGGACAAGGTTGGGCAAATACAGGTTGTACTGTAGCTCTAATGCTATGGAAGATGTCAGGTGGTGGCAGCATCTGCTGCAATACTGGAATGGTAAATCATTCTTCCTGCATTCCGACTGTCCTCCATTACCAAATCTACAACTATAATAATATGTGCCACAACCAGCTAAAACATGTCTTAGGGTGACAATTTTCAAATTTTGTTTTCCTCCAGAAAAACAGTTCTTGGGACCTTACTTGACCTCTTGAAGGTGATACAGGGCAGAAAAGTAGTCTACAAGTGCCCCAAACACCGCTTTCAAAATAATTATGTACTTTGAAATAGAAAGTGACAGTTTTCGCACAGTCTGACACAAAGAGACAAACTATTACTTGATGGCTTTTGTGGCGGAGCACAATACAACGGAACTAAAGATGTTGACACCGACTTGAGCATGTCAACGACATCAGTTCAAAGGCATGGCCCAAGTTCTTCCTGGAAAGCAACACGATGCGCTGGGCGGCGTTGCACTTGCATACTCTTTCGATTCTGGCAGTGACACTTTCGATCGTCTCCTGCGTTTCCGAGACTGCGTCAGACGCCTCATGAGAGCTGAACGCAAGTAACGTTGTAAGGCAGCCGGTTCGCCGCCTAAATGATTATGTACTAGCCCACAACTTGTGCCTCTTCGCTACTGGAGACGACGGGGACGATTCAGCTTCGCTGTCGACCTCAACATCAATGAGATCCCAACAAAAGATCCCAACAAATTGTCAGCGTCGCTCTGTAGACCCGCCGCCACGAACTTGCAGACACCTGAACAAACCTGGGCCATGCACAGCGATCGTCTGGCCGTGCGAGCTGCTCCAGTATCACTAGATGCGGACATTGTCAGTCTTTGCTCGCCAGCTACTTGAAGTAGAACGCCAAACAAGTGTTTGAGCAAAATTTGAGAAGATGATCGCCACATCATGAATCATTTGAATGAAGTGCAGAGTGAACGCGCTCCAAAAAAACACTTTTTTCATTTCGTCATTTCCCAACTTTTTTACGAAACCCCAAAGACATGTTTTAGCTGATCGCGGCCCATATATAGATGCAAGTGGTTCTCGTGTCTGGGGAGTCTACAGGAACGTCTGTCTGGGGTATCAATGGCACGTGGACTAGTGAAGAAGTAGAAAGAGAGACATCATGTGGCATGCGCCGTATGCCTTGCCAATTGTTTTCACCACCTGGTACCATGATGAGGCAAAGCTATGTATCCTCGTTCACTGCACTAATGAAGTAGTTGTAGATTATGTAAAGTCGGCCTGTAGCAAATCATCTCCAGCTATGCAACTGCTCCTCATTGGCAAAGAGCAGACCTTCATGAGAACGAAGAGAAATGAAAATACAGTTGAAACGATAGGAATGAACATTTGTCTCTGCCAAACACAACTTTACTATTCAGCCACCCAAATGTCATGGAGAAGGAACTTGACTGCCGATTCTTTGTCACGTTTCTTTAGAAAGGCATCTTGGTAGCTCACTCCGGTGCGAAGAACCTACCAGGCGATGTGACCTTGCCCCGATACATGGGGAAGTAAGCTAGTATGCTGGATGTGTTATATCTTCTAATACATGACACACCTATTCGACTGGCAATATACACGCGCTCCCGCCTCACACCTGGGCATACAAAAATGTTCCAACGCATGTGTAGTCACAAGCAATTGACACGTTGTGTTGGGGGTTGCGATCACTTCCTTTTGGATAAGGATATTAGAAGAATATGCTGAATGCAGTTCACAAGTTCGTGGGGAAGTTGTGAACGGAAAAGCGGTTAGCAGTATAATACGTTTGACATAATATAATTTGATTATAAACTGGCTCTAAGGAAGCAATCGATAACCGTTGCACCATGATATCATCACATAATTATTATGATCTTCAGTGATTCCCACCGCCCACAGCCCACCGAGAGCCGACACACAAATGGCCCCAAAGGGCTAGCCCACGGCTGTCCACCATGGTCCAATCACACGAGCGGCCATAGAGGCCGACAGGCAGCCCACCAAGCACTAAAATAATGATCCTGTCAGCACCGGGCTGCTAGCATACTGCCCACCAAGGGTGCACAAATGGCCGACGCTGCCAGCAATCTGCCCACCAAGGGTGCATGGACGGCCTTTGAGGCCAACAACCTTCTCACCGACAGCTGAAGCCACCTGCTCACCGGATACTAATACGTATACCCCATCGAGGGCTGAAGCAAACTGCCCACCTTGAGCTAAAACATTCACCCTACCGAGGGCTGAAGCAAACTGCCCACCTAGAGCTAAAACATTCACCACACCGAGGCCTGAAGCAAACTGCCCACCAGGAGCTAACACATACACCCCACCGAGGCCTGAAGCAAACTGCTTACGGGGGCTTACATGTACACCCCATTGAGGGCTAAAGTCGAACTTTTGGAATCGCTGTTTTCTGTGTTCGAACATTAGAGCCACCCTTTCCGAGCAATGGCAAGTTGTTACTGATGCCATGGTGGTCTCGGACTTTGTCCAAGCCCTCTTCCGCACCAAATATATTCATCGCGCTCCGCACTATTCTGCCCCAGAGCTCGTATCGTTTTTCTGGAGTTCTTGCCCTTCGACATACTGAAGTTGACGATGGCAAGAACAAATTGTTCTCAATTTCGTAAAAAAAACACGACGTGTGCCGCATGATGCTGTGAGGGTAGCATGCCTGAAAACATCAACAAAATCAGCGAAGCGCTTGCCAAGAAAAGAAGGTGCAGAACTGCTTACCCAATCCCGCTGGAAGGTCATGTCAGTGTACTCGAAAAAATATAGTTTTCATGTCATCGCCTGCCACCTGGAGTCATGGATGGCTTGAAAACGAAGTTTCATGACCTGAATTTGAACGTGTGTCTTGTTCAGCGTATCGCTTAGTACTGAAGGGTCTGCCTCAAACTCTGATGAAGACATCGACCTTAGCTGCAAGTGCAGCAAAAACGGGAGGCCAAAACTAAAGCTTGGTCTGTCGACAATGCTCTGCCTCAATTTCTAGCTGATTTCTTTTCACGTTGAGCGGACAAAAAAAAATGGAAAAATCGCTCTGGGAAGCAACAATTTTAATAATGTGGAGGAAGTACATTCCATTGAGGGCTGAAGCAACCAGCTCACCAAGAGCTATCACATACATCCCATTGAGGGATGAAGTATACTGCCCCCCCCCCCCCAGGTGTAGCACATACACCCACCAAGCGCTGAAGCATACTGCTTGCTGTGAGACGATCATGTACCGCCCACCAACGGCTGATGTGTAATGCCTGTACGGACTATTGAGAGCCAATGATTAGCTGCTGACACCCACGACCTTCCCACCAAGGGCTAAAGCATACGGGCCCTAGGCGCCAATCTCGTACCGCCCAGCGTGTGCAAACGAACGACCAACGGGGCCACGAATTCTCCCACCTAGGGCTCACATAACTACCTGGCATTAGGAGTCACACCACACACCTACAACAATCCTGATGCCCGCTTGCATCCCCACCTCCATTCGGGAAGAAAACAAGTTGCAAATGAATGAAAGAGCAGAGACAAACAAAATAGAGACGGTTGAATGGTGGGGAAAAGTAATACATAATTTCAGCAAATCCAGAAAGAAACTAAAATTTAGGACAGCTCCGCCATGTCCAGACAGGTTTCGAGAAATTCAAGACAAATCTGTCGAATTGAAATCATAAAAATGCCCGTAAAAATTGGCCAACTTCGGTCTTCTCGACAACCGGTGGCATGGCCAAGCAATCTGCCTCGCTTTACAAGCGTATTGCATCCCTTATTGCTGAGAAAAGCAGCGAACCATAATTATTCGGTTGTCATGGCATTCATCCGCTGCCGCCTTAGCTTTGCTTTTTTTTTTTTTTTTTTACTAAGTACACAACCTACTCGTCAGAAGGGGAGAAGACAACAGAGTATACAATGACAAAACAGCAGGGAGAGCTTTGCTCAGAGCAAGTGCTATGTGCCTGCATGGTAACTGCTCTGTTTTCGCTGTGCATGCACCTGTCTCTTCTTCTGCCTCTCTAGTTGTTGCCGAAGCCGGCACATCCCGTCATTAATATTGTAGTCTTTAGTTCTTTAATATCAGTATTTGTCATGGCGACTCCATTACACACTTTGTAGCACGATTTCAAATTTATAAAAGTAGAAATTGGCCAACGTGTAAACTGTGCAGGGACAGCAATATGACACATACTCACAGCATCAGCACTGTGCCTATAATACCCATGTGCGTGGGCAACTAAGCTTTCCTGTGTAAGGCACAGATCTTCTTCCAATTCGTGCAATTCTTGCATGAGTAACTGAGCTTATGTATGATGCAGACATACTGTATCATTCTGTACTGGGAAATGTTTGAAATGTTAAAATAAAGTTTTGTCCATGCTGTTCTTTTCTGTTGGTGTATTGTGTTGTGATGTACATGTATGTACCTGTAGGTCACCACACTGGATGGTACATACATACGCGATATAGGCAAACGAGGCAGTGGTAATACTGAATTCAACTATCCCGCTGATGTAGCTGTGGATGACGATGGTGATCTTGTGGTGGTTGACAACAGCAACCATAGACTGCAGGTAAGATCTATGATTGATTAGTGCGGTTCCACTTTTGTTTAATTACACAATGTTGACTGGAAGTTCAGTACAGACATCAGTCTTCCATTGTTGACATGGTACTAGAGTGTACAGTATGATCAAGGGTAACTAAGCTACCAAGAGTGTGCAACTCTTCACACCCTTTCTATGGCGTCATGCAATGGCAAAAACTCATATCACCTGGTTTTGGAGTCTGGGCGCTTTGCTTGATTGCTTAGTCTGGCTTAGTCTGAGTTAATCTGAGTGGTCAGTCTGGGTGCTTAGCTTGGGTGGCCAGCATCAGGGGCGTCGGAACCGGCCAAAGCGGCACCAATAATTTTCCAAGTCGAAATTCTAAAAATCTGTTCTACGCTTTTTGCAGGCCTGAAAAGGTATTGGGTATCTCATGCATGCATACAAAATGTACGGTGCGCTGTGTGAACCTTTGTACCAGAGCATGGGCAGAGGTGGCAAATCTTTGTAATCATGTACCGTGGTGGCAGTTTATTGTTCTGACTCGAAGAGATGGATGGTTACCATGGTTACCCCGAAATAGGAGATGCTCTTTTCCAAACCAGGTCACATGACTACCCAAAGCGAGCATTCGGGGTTAGCCAAGCTGTGTTCCGTGCATTCTTGCCATCTTGGTATAACAATTATCCGTGGTTGCATTGGGATATGAAGCGTAAACGAGTATTTTGCTTCACATGCGTAAAGGCAGCTCGAGGAAAGCTCCTCTTCAGTACGAAGACCGACGCTGCATTTATTTCAACTGGCTTTCAAAACTGGAAGTATGGTCCGGGAGGATTCTCAAAATATCAGTCCAGCGACTGTCACAAGGAATCTGTTGAAAAGTTGGAGACAACTCCTGAGCCAACTGGTCACGTTGGTGAACTTCTCAACTCACAGTTTTTGTCGGACTGTAAAGAGAATCGAGAGAATTTCCTCCTAATTCCTTCGAAACATCAAGTTTCTTGCTCGACAAGGGCTGCCTCTCTGAGGAGCATCGCAAGATGGAGGTGAAGTAGATAGTGAAGTAGACCACAGCAAGTCATTGCAGTCTGCCAGTAGATAGCAATTTCCACCAGCTCCTGACCGTTTTCGGCGAATTCCAACCGTAGCTACAGAAGTGGCTAGAGAAGAAGAAGGGAAAATACACGAGTGCCGATATGCAGAACGAAATGTAGAAAGTGATGGCACTCCACATCCTACGTGGACTTGCCCTCAGTATCGGCGAAAGTAAGTTTGCCATCATGGTGGACGAAACCACTGACTCCAGCTCTACGGAGCAGTGTGTAATTGTCATTCGATATGTAGATTCAGAGCTCCATTTTCATGAGGAGTTCTGTGGATTTTATGCCATCGCAACGGCTTATGCTGACCCTATTGTCAGCGTAATCAAGGATACCCTGTTGAGGATGAACCTCTAGCTGGAGTGTTGTCGAGGCTAGTGTTATGATGGTGCCTCTACCTTGAAAGGTAGCCGAACAGGAGTTGCAACCCAGATCTTGGCAGATGAGGCCAGAGCTCTATATACTCACTGCTATGGGCATGCCCTGAATCTCGCTTCTCAGGACATGATTCGTGATGTCAAGCATGTCAGGGATGCGATGGACATCACATTTGAGCTCAGCAAGCTATTAAATTATTCTGCGAAAGATACTGCTGAATACAAGCGCCTGAAAGCTGAGCTTGCACCAGAATAACCTGGTTTCCGCACCTTGTGTCCGACCAGGTGGACAGTTTGGGCTGCATCTCTGAAGACCATCTAGACCAACTACAGCGTCCTTCAACAGTGCCTGGAGTCATGTACCGAGCTTGCAAAGAACGATAAGGAGATGTCAGCAAAGTGCAATGGTGTGAGGAGTCAATTGGCAAATTATGACTTCCTCTTCTGTGTCTCTCTCGGTGCAAAAGTTCTATCTCTTGCTGATAACCTCAGCAAGTCATTGCAGTCTACCACCTTGTCTGCAAAGTGAAGGCCAAGCTATTGCAAAAGCTACTGTTGACACTCTTCTGCTTCTCCAAACTGGCAGTAGTTTTGAGGCTTTCTGGTCGAGCGTGATGGAGCTGCAGCAGTCAAATGATGTGCTTGAACCTCAACTAATGAAAAAAAGGAGGGTACCAGCAAGGCTGATGGAAGGTACTGGTGCTCCCTCATTCCCTGCTACAGTCTAGGCCTACATTCGCCCTGAGTACTTTGCTGCAGTTGACACAGTTGTGCAAGCCATCCGTCAGCGGTTTGACCAGGAAGGCTATTGCAATTACGGGAATTTGGAAGACCTTCTTCTCAAAGGCTGTTCTGGGCGAGACTACAGTACAGAGCTAACAGCCATTGCCTCACTGTACAAGGATGACATCCAGACGGATCTTATTCATGACCAGCTGCCTGTCCTTCATGCGCATTGCGTTGCTGAAGGTGATGGTGCACAGACCGTGCTGAGTGTTGTGTCTTACGTGCAGTCTTTGTCAAGTCGTCAGTTCTTCTTGTCAGAAGTGTGTGTCCTGCTCCAGCTTCTGCTGATATCACCAGCCACTAATGCCACCAGTGAGGGCTTACTCTCGCTTCACATATACTGACACACACAGAGACATAGACAGCAATAGCGACACTACACAAAATGAAGGGTAGTTGGCCGCAACCAGACGTGGGTAGTTGGCCGCAGCCAGATGTGAACCGGATATCAAGTGAGGTATGGAAGCAAGAACTGAGAACAGAGTGTCTCAGATAGAATAGGCATGCCAGTGGATAGCAGAAATAGGCCATGATGCAGAACCACTTGGGACGGTCAGATTAATTTTCCTGGACCGAGCCAGCCAGGAAAAATCCCTCGCGCCGACGGACGCAGTTGTGAGGGAGAAAACGGGTGTATATCCCCAATGGCGATTAGGCATCATGTCGGCATGGCAAGCACATCACGGCAAAAAGTGATAAAAAAGCAATGATAATATGCACAGAAATGAAGGGTGGGAGGGCAGGGACACTGGTGAGACTCAAAACTGCTGAAGAAGTCAGGAAAAGAAGCGAAAATAAAGAACACACCAGATGCCATATTTGCAACTGAAAATATTTCGCGAGAAATCATTTCTCGCCTATCTCGCTGCGCTCGGCCGGCAAGAAATACAACTTCTCGGCACTAAGGCGGCTGAAAACGTACCACTGCGCTCTTCCTCATGTTCGCAAGGAAGACCGCGATGCTTTGAACTTGAAGACAGTTGCGAATGACTTTGTTGGAGGGTGCGCGTATCGCAGAGGCATTTTCGGAAAGGTTTAGATGTGTGTTAATGTTGCTTTGTCAATTTTGTCAATGCTCAGAACAGCAACCTCAATTCGCGCTTCATTGTTATATGTTCTTACCTTGTATACCTCGTTTGTTGCTTCCATATATTAGTGCGTGTTTCATTACTCTTTTTGATGTAGTGATTCCCTAGAAACCTTGTTGGTGGCTTGTCGACTCTTGTACAGCTACCATTTTTGCATCGGCAATGCGGTGTGTCATCTTCCATGCGTATTCTTATTTCTCATATTATTCTGTGGCATAAAAATATGGTCTTTTAGGGCCACTTTTCAAAACATTTTCCCCGCGGGAGGACGTGCGACTAGTTGTTGGAGGTGACAGCGTTGTGAATAGCTATACTGGCTCTCAACGTCTGTTTAGCACAACTCCATGAGCGACTCTGACTCACGCTGCTACCTGGGGCTTCACGAGGTGTTTGTCGCGCTGGAAACAAAGCGTCTCTGTAAGTTTGTATCCCTGGTGATGGTTTGGCCTGGAGAGCAGTATATAAGTGGTGCTTTTCAGGCACAATCTTCCTCAGCCTACTCAAGCTCAACTGATGAGGGGTGAATTCCCCGAAACACTGTGTATTGAGCAGGGAGTGGTGCTTTCTTTCAGGTTTGCCGAGCGGAAGGTGCGACGTGCTCCTGGTGTGCTCCGGATGGCAGTCGTGAGTCAGTCAAGTGTCAAGTTCGGCAAGAAGCGTGTGCTCCTCGTTGAAGCAACCAACTTCAGGAAGCTTTTTAATTATTATTATTATTATTATTATTATGCACTTACGCGTCAATGTCAGCGGTGGTAAACCGCGCACAAATTCGCACGTGCTGAATGGACTTGGGAAATGAAAAATAAAAATAAAAGGAGCAACGACAACAGAAATAGAAATACAATACAAGACGTGCCTGCTAAGGGGCACATGAGAGCATTTCTCAGATTGAACAGAGGACGCAGACACAGGATAAAGGGCATTGTCGACTCCGTTTTGAGAATAATCCAGTAAAATGGTGGCAGGTGGATGCAAATCCACGCACTACGTTAAGAGAGGAATTTTGTTGGTATTTAAAAAAAGATGTTAGTTATTATTGGGAGTATAACTGAACTTTATGTTCATACTCACAGCAGTTTCACTCTTCCTGCAACATTGTTTATCAACCTCCCTCTCCATTGTCAAAAATGGGTATTACCTCACCGTTTCAACATGTTCCTCTGTCAAATGTTTAGCATCTGTAGCCTCACAAAATAATAGCCAAGTTCGTTTCCCTGGAGGTGAGTCTCCTCGGGAGGAACTTCGTGGTCCATTGAAGAGTTCAGAATGTACCAAGCACCTACCTTTTCAATTAAAAATGCTTCAACATGTATATGCTGTGATCGACCCTTTCTGCCAAGCTAAGACATTGTGATGTCATCAGGTCTTCCTCGCTTTGGGAAATTCGAAAAAATATTTCCCACTCCACTCAATAATACTTGTGCATGGTTGTTCTTGTTGGAGAGGTCTTCTGTTACACCTACCATACTTTTGTTTAGCCATCGGAAATATGACCTGGATAATGAGACTGGAGTGCCTCTGTAACCCATTCACTGCTGATCCCATACTATACCGGGATTCTAGATGACGACCAGGCTCTGAGCGCGTAGTATTACGTGGTCATATACATGGTGTGTTGATGAGAATTTGCAGGGCAGGTGTTTTTTTTTGTTTTTTTTGTTTTTGTTTTTTACTAC